AGGGGTGGGTGGGTGGGTGTGTATGTGTATGTATATAAAAGGAAAATAAATAGGTAAGCGAAGTAAGAGACAAACACATGTGGCTATATATAGGGATATGCATCAGACCTAAAAAGAAGCCTTTAACTATCTGAAAAGCAATGACTTAGTGGTTTAGGTGTGCAAGTGCTCAAATATATGCTAATACAGAACAAACATTTCTGAAATTGCTGAATACAGTAGTTGTCAATGATTGGTCTTAATGTCTAACACTGGCAGACCTGCTGTAATTGTTGCCAGAAACGTACCACTTTCCTTGCATCTCTCACCTTTAAAAAAAAACCAGCACCACTAAAATGAACTAAGCAACATGGTTCTGTCTGTCAAGAGATGCTATGTACCAGGATGAGTTTTTGAAACCTGCAGTATAAATCTACCCAAATGTAGTAAGATGGCATTTTTACTTTGAAATGTTCTAATTCTATTACTGAATTAAACCAAAACAAATTATATTAAGTTCTGTTAGTTCATAAGAACCACATCAGAAAGATGATCAAATCTCAGACTGCATTAACATGCCTGCAAATGAACACAAGTGTCATACTAGAGTTTTATGGTGTCAATACATAAAATTACATATAAAGGAAAAAACATATACAGGAAAAGTATATATTCTGTTGGTGAAAGGTACAAAAACCTGCAGTCAAAGAATCAGAAAATAACATGCTTCAGCACTAGTCTGGAAAGCACTACGTTCTTTTTCAAGTAAGAAGTCCGTACTGAGCCTCGTAGTCTTGTCTTGTCATGTTTGTTAATATACCCGTTTTGGAGTCAGACAGCATTTGTTTAGCTTGTATAATGATACAGAGCAACACTAAACCATAATTAACTCCTCTTTTGTGCTGTCCTCCTTCTACCACTATTGTACCCAATATATACCCAGTTGCAGTTTTCTGGTTTTGTTTTGCAGCTCAGCTGTATTTTTCTTGGATGTTCACAAGACTGGCACTTGATTGGATACGCTTAGCTAGAAGGGAAAAAAATCAAAATTAAAAAAAAAACCAACTCCCAACATCAGTTTCCTACTCATTCAGCCTGAGCACATACTGTTGAACAGCGTAATGTTAACATCGTGGTTTTTCTTTTCAATAGAAAGGCATGGCTAAGGACCTACTTTTCCCTTCCCATACAACTCTTCAAGTGATCAGAGCAGATCCCAAGAAGACAAGTAGTCACCACCAAATCCCCATCACATCTACAGTTACAGTGGCAGAAATGCCTGACTGCATACCAAGTAGATCAGCAGTTCTCAAACTGTAGGCCAGGACCCCAAAGTGAGTCAGAACCTTATTTTAATAGGGTTGCCAGGACTGGCTTAGACTTGATGGGTCCCAGGGCCAAAGCCCAAGCCTCACCACCCAGGGCTGAAGCGAAAGCCCCAGGACTTCAGCCCAGGGCTTCTGGACTCAGGTTTCAAGCCCCTTATCTGGGTCTGAAACCTTTGGTGCCTTGAGTGGAGCTCAAGCAAGATCAGGCTTCGGTCCCCAACTCCTGGCATCACGTGGTAATTTTGTTGCCAGAAGTTGGTCAGGGTGCAATGAAATTTGAGAACCCCTGAAGTAGACTGACCAAGTAGAGTGACCAAGATGACTCCGTGGGTTTCCCCATTCTGTAAGTAAAGTTCTGACAACATTACTTACGCAGGATGAGGATACGTTTCTTCTGCTTTGAGTGAAGGAAGCTGCTAAGGTAAAAAATGACTGGTAAAAAGAGAATGAATGAAGAAATTGCAATCACTGGGACTGTATCACTGCACGGGACAGAACAGTTGAAAGTTCTACTCCAAAGCCTTCGTGTAATGTTCATCTAAAAGGAAAACGAACATGGTGAGCAACACACACCCCTGGGGCTTGCCTCACTGTTTTACTCACCATTGCAAAGTTCTCTACTGCAAGACCACATTAATATCTTTAAACTACTTGAAAAAGAGCCATTTAAAATGCTGCCCCTCAAAAAATTAGACATCATAGGTGAAATCTTAGCCCAACTGAAATCAATAGCAAACCTCCCATTGGCTTCCAAGACAACAGGATTTCACCCACTATATTTAGAGCAATGATTCCCACACTGTGGTTCTTAGAGCACTTGCCGGTGGCTCATGGAAAGCTGGCTGATCACATGCTAATTCTCCTTCGGTCCAGCTGCTAAAAAAAATCACAATAAGAGGCAGCTAATTTTTTTTAAAGCTTTCCTAAAGTTCATTAGCTCCAGAAGCAACTGCTGTAGTTAGGAAGCAGCTAACTGGAATCATTAACTGGTACTGCTGAGGCGTGTCAGATAAAAGCCAAAGATGAAGGGGAATTCCCAAACCCTTCACAAAATCTCTAGACAAAAATAAAGTCCCAACTGATCAAACAAAGATATCCGGACATCAAGGTTAGCCTCGCCCCCTTGCTTTTCAGGAGTGGCACAAGGTCTTTAATGACCCCCTCTATTGTCAGGACCTCTATTTTACATCTCTTCCAAATATACAGCAGTAGCATGGAGTACTGAACCCAGGGCCCTGGTTCAGTACTAACTCAAAGAGAGGACTGCAACCTAACAAATCAGCAGTACTATATCCTGAAGCATTTAGGTGTTCCTTAACTATTTTCTTTTACGTATTGACTAGAACCCAGCCTGATCCTTCTTAGTTTGCGAGATGAAAGGAGGTCACAGCAGAAAGCTCTGGGTGCAGTGACACGCTAACACACCAAAGAAACTGCTAGTGATAGCAGCTTCCACTACTGAAATGACAAGGATGGTGCCAAGAGAAAATAATATAAAACAGCTAAGTGACCACTAAATATTGCTCTTTGGCCCTATCTACACACATTGAGTATCAGCAAGGCACAAGATCCAGAAGCAAATACATATACTTACTGCATCTTCCACATCAATACATAATTGCGTTCTGTGTTCGGAGTGGCTGCCCAATCCAGTCATTTTTTGCATGTTGTTATACAAGGCATTCAGATTTTTGTATGTTACATTGCAATTTCTGCATACTTCAGTGCGGTTGCTTGGTACAAGATGGGTTGCTTGCCCCTAAAATTATAAGCAGCATGTTTAAACAATATAAAATTAACTTTAAAAACTATCTGAATTTGAAGCAAAATCCACAATATTAATATCCCAAAATGTTACTGAAATTTTAATATAAAAATAATAATATAAAAAGTTCAGTGAATTAAAAGTTGACTTTTTCCCCCCAATTTGATCTTTATCGTGTATTGCAAAACCAGACAGTTGTTTAAATGTTGAAAGGTTTTTAAAAGAGGCATTTTTAAACTATGGACTTACTAGAATTAAACAAAACGAGGATTATTAATACCAACTTTGGCTTGGAAGCACAGGTGTGCTTCTCCCCCACAGCTGGCTATTTTTCATTCATCTACACGAACATGCTGAACAGGAATTTTAATTTGGCCTAATTATTTTGAGCTTCAATAGCTACTGCTCCTGTCCCCTTCTATTCCCCATTTATTTAATAGATCGTAATCATGGCAAGAAGCCAAATCATGTTTTAACACAGTCTGTAGCAGCAGTTTCATCTTCCTGAAAACTCTGAATACCTGGCTAGGTTCGGGGGAGAAGATCATTATAAGATTTCCAGATTCTTCTCTTTTTATAAAGCCTTCCCCCTGAAACAGTGACAGCACCCAGAGTTTAAAGAAGAGACCTGGCTACCATGCACCTTAAAGCACCATTTTTCTAGCACTCAAAAGGCAAACTCTTGTATGATCAACTTCACAGGCTATCTCCAATTTCCCACTTCTGAGCAAGTCAGTCAGGAAGCTAGTGATAGGCCATTACTATGTCAGCATCCTAGATCATTCCCAACCGGACTCTATACCCACCTGCTACTTAACAATGGCCACAATGAAAACAGAAGATTATCTCCTGTTCACTACAGAAAATAGGCAACCTCCCCACATTCTTTTAGATCACTACAGCACTTGACAGTGCTGTTGGTTCACCACAAAGACCTACAGGGAATAAACAGTAAGCCTCACAGCTTCATTTTCTCCCACTTTCTATTCAATTGTTACAACAAGCTGCTGGAAGAGACTATAAGACACCTTGATCTTAAAACATCAGCGAGATGCAAATTGTACCCAGAAGTTAGCATCCTTTCTGTCTAGTATGAATGCCCCTTTCTGCAGCTGTACTACTGGCAAATCAGATCAACACCTGGATAAAAGGCAACTTTCTGAGGCTAATACCTGGCAAGACAATGGTGAGGCTGGAGGGAAGAAGGCAACATTTCCATGATTTAGCCAACTCCATGGAGAAGATTATACAGGGGCCTTCTAGATTCGGCCCTCCTCAATGTCTCAGCAATATTCAATATCCAAACAACACTGTCAGCCAACCAGGAGACGACGCCCCATTCTAACAGATACAGACTTGACCAGAGTAATCTTTTTAAATGATGATCTCCATAACACAGGAATGAAACTGCAAGCACTAGGGATGTAAGCAACTAGTCGACTACCCAATAAGCCTAGGCTTACTGAGTAGTCGAGTCACTACTCAACTAGTCGCTTCCTGTGACGGCACGTTGGGGGTCCCCTGTCTCCTGCACCCGGAAATGGCACAAACAGACCGCACCAGCCGGTGGAATAGAGGAAGTTTATTGCCTCTCCAGGATACAGCACAGCACAGATGTAATCTGGTCACAGAGCTGGGCTAGGATGCCTCAGGCCCCCTTGAGTTGGGGGGAGACCCTAAATTCCAGCTCCTCTCCCTAGGCTGTCTCCTCCATGCTCACAGACAGACAGCCACCAACTAACCCACTTCCAGTCCTGCCCCCCAGCCAGGGCAGCCTTCCACCTTCCTTTGTTCCTCTCCATGGGGGAACTCCAGTCTACCTGCTAACCACCACAGAAAATGAGAACATGTCAATGCTGCAATCACTCCACTGGCTATCCTATAATTACTACATTAAGTGTGAGCTCCAGATTTTATCTTTAAAGAGCTCAATTAATCAGGCCCAACCTCCTTCCCTTGGCTAAGACCTACTATAAAGGCTTAATATCTCCGGAACCATCAATAATGGGAGACAGGTTTTTCTCAGCAGCTGTTCCTTCCACAACACTTAAGCATGAACACAACACACACCACCTCCAGACTGAAATGCTAAATACATCTTTGGCTCAGCTTCCCAGCACCCACCTCCACTTGTCCATGAAGAGGGGCTAGAGAAAAAAGCCAAAGGATATGTCTACACAGCAAAGTTATTTTGAAATAACAGCCGTTATTTTGAAATACATTTACTAGAGTCTACATAGCTAAACCGCTATTTCAAAATTAATTCTAAATAGCAGAGTGCTTATTTTGAATTTGGTAAACCTCATTCCATGAGGAATAATGCCAAATTTGAAAAATCTATTTCGAAATAAGTGCTGTGTAAACACTTATATCAAAATAGGGGGCCTCCAGCCCTTCCCAAGGTGCCCTGGTGGCCACTCCAGCCTCAACCAGAAATACTCCTCTCCCTCCTCTCTTCCCAGAGCCCTTAATGGGGTAGTCTCTGGCCACAGTGCCTGTGCCAGCTCCAAGCCTGCCAGACCAGAGCCAGCAGTCACTCCCCCTGACCCAGTGGCCCCCAAACATGAGCCAGCAAAGACTGGCAGCCAGCCCTCCACCACTCGCCAGGAGCAGTCTGCCAGCTCCCAGGAGCCTGACAGGGGCTGGTGGACCTCATTCAGGTTTGGGGGAGGCCTCCAACGTCCACGACCTCCGCACTAGGCACAGTAAAGTGGCCGTCTAGGGCAGGATAGCAGCCAGCCTGGCCACCAAAGGCCACATGCAAACTCAGGAGCAGGTTTGCATGAAAATCAAGTTGATCCAGCGACACCCCCAACCCTGAGCTTCCCCTTCCCCTTTTTCCACTTGCTTCCCCCTTCCAGCTCCCCTCCCAGGTTGCCCCCTCCCCTCTCCCACCTCCTTTCCCCAGTCTCACCTGAGTTTAACCCCACCCTCCAGTTTTGTTAAATAAAGAGAGTTTGTGTTCATGAAAATACATGTATTTTATTTTACATCAGGAAGGGGGGTTAGGGAGGGGTAAGTGGAAGGACATGAAAGAGGAATGAGGCACAAGCCTCCAGTGGGGCAGACCAAGGAGGCTCTTAGTGCTCCTCAGGGTGGAAGCTCTCCCGCAGGGTCTCCTGGATACTGACAGTCCCCCAATGGACCTCCCGGATGGCAGCCTGAAGAAAGTTCAGCCAGGCTCGCAGCAACGCGTCCACGAGAAGCACCAGAGTGCCCAAGGGCAGGTCTGACTCCATGTTGCAAAGTGATGTGGTGTCCTGAGTGAGGGCAACCAGAGCACGCAGAGACAAAATGATTTCCTGTCCCTCATCGAGGTAGGCAAGCAAGCAGGGAAAGCAGAGAACTGGCTGTCCGGGGGGGTCCCTTTAAACACAAGCCTCAGATAGCCTCAGGCAGCAGCCACACAAAGTAACTCCTGACCTGATGCCCTGCCGGACCTGGTTCCAGCCGGCCTTAAATGCAATTCAGCATCCACTCAGTGTGAACGTGCTATTTTGAAATAGCAAAAAGCTATTTCGAAATGCATTTTGCGTGGACGCGTTAGTTCAAAATAAGCTATTTTGAAATAACTATTTCGAAATCAGATATTTTGAAAAAACGCTGCAGTATAGACATACCCAAAGTGAATCTGTACTACTCAGAGATAAGACAGGCAGCTCCGTTATGCAGGTATACAGCCAGCTAGCTAGCTTACAAAAAGAGCACAAGACCTTTTACTAGAACTCTGTGGATAGGATCATAATAAACAGGATAGGAAAAAAATCATATGACCCACCACCTGAGGAGGAGGAGTGAAGGGAGCAAGATCTGCCTGGCAAGCATAACAGCAGGGAAAGCTAGCTCACCAACAAGTGGAGTTGCTAAGCATATTGTCACCTCAGAGCCTTCCTCTAGAGTTAGATGTTTATTCTGCACCAAGAACATCACGTTGAATGTTATCCTTTTGGACAGTTTTTACTGATCCGCTAATTAATGAAACCAGAAAGAATATTTTTCGCATAATCTAATTTAGTTTTAGGATTAAAATAGCATAACTTCCAAAACTTTGATGCATAATTCCTTAGGAGGCACTTATGGGCCATTTTCTTGGAAGATAATTACCACGTTTATTTTACAAAGAGAGATACTTAATTACGAAGAGTTTAATTGTTCATAACCTTGCTGGTTAGGAGAACTTTTAAGAAGTGTTTTCAAGTACCTGGTCCTTTTGGACTCAGCTACAATACAACCAAATACTTATTTAAAGAGCCACATTGTTAATTCAGGCAGTGTCAACTCCAGAAGGAACTAGAAAAAGTGACTTACTGTATTCAGTGACTACGTGACTCTTACTATATAATTATCAGCTATTGTGAATCCAGAAATCCCAATATGAAATGGCACTGTAATTGTACATAAGCAGAGTCAAGGTGAACATCAATTAAAATGCATTCTGTGCTCTCAATTGTGAACATCTGCATCTTACAGATAATTGTTCTACCTGCTTAAACTGCTTAAGAGTCTGTGAATTGCAGTTGTTCAATACGTATCCACAGCAGTTTGTTCTGTGGAAAATAAGGTATTTTATTATACAACCGAAGGGCTCAGTACTGCCCTGAGATACACAGTATAGATACCTGGAAGTTATGTTCAAAGCAGCTCAGTGTTGCATTGAATAAGTCCAAGAACTCCACTGTACTATTTGATAGCCCTTCACTGTTGTTTTTCATACAACCTGTCAAAAAGAAAAAAAATTAATCAAGATAGCCTGATTTTTAACCCATTTCTAAAGCCAACAACTCCCATGGCACTACAGCTTTACTACAAGAGCTCTCAATATTAAAAACAATCCAATCAGCTTTGCATTTCCTATTTGGAAGATGTCTTCAGGCCTGCTGTCCTAACTCATTTGTACTTAATTTAGATAAATTTCAAAATTAATTGGCCTTGATTAAGTGAAAGATGAAGATCATCAAGTGCATTCCGAAGGGAGGATTTGAGCTCTCTCTGGGCTTTCAAACACAAGATGCTGGTTTTACTTTTTGCTCTGCAATTTGGCTTTGCCAATCAGCACTAGCGTGCACTGTTTGAAAGTATGTGTGTCAGAACTGTAGCTGAAACAGCAGACAAATAGGAAATAGAGGGAATCCTTAAGCTTATGAAAGTAAAAAAACAAACGCTTATGAAAAATGCACTAAGCAAGGCCACTAAATATGCACCAATTTTTTCAGGAAGTAGCAGCCAATTTTACCTGCCCTTGCAGGACACTCCTGAAACAGTACTTTGCATAGGCACTGGAACTACGAGGTGCCATGGATGCCTAGCTTAAAGTGATTTCCATCATATACAGAGTTTCTAATTTGGTTCAATAGCTGTTAACACCCCGCTATAAAAATTGTTCCAGCATCCCTGGTCCTTGTCAGATACTGCTACAGTGCTGCAGGTAATTATTTCCTTCCATTTACTTCACTTTTACTACTCTGAACCATTAGACTCCTGGAAACTAGGACTGTGAGTTTTACATAGAATTTCATTTAAAAAGAGCACTC